TGTATATTGATACAGTTCAAACACCATTGGTTAGATGACAGGACTAAGAAGTGGGACTTAAATTGGCCTTGAAAGATGATGAGAATTTGAGTAGGTAGGGAAGGGAAATGAGAAAGGATGGTGGAAGAAGCCCAGAAAACTCCGATCTACTGCTTTTAGACAGGTGAGTTCGCAGAAGAGGGGCCTAGACACAAACATGGAACTTCTCAGTAGAAACACAAAGGTGCCCTTTGTGGATGGTGATGTGCACATGGCCTCACCGCTCCCTAAATGGATTCAACAGTGATATGTAACTCTGCTTTAGGGAGCTGGGAAGATCGCTCAGGCAGTAAAGTGCTTGCTTCATGAGGCGTAAACACTGGAGTTTGGGCCATAGAACCCACATGAAAATGAAGAAAGAGCTAAGGGTTATGCTACAGGCTTGTAATCCCAGCACTGGGAACTGGATACAGATGGATCCCTGGCGCTCGCTGGCCAGCCAGCTCAGACTACTCGAAGAATCCCAGGCCAGTGAGAGACCCTCCCATAAAACAAGGTAGATGCAGTCTGAGGAATGAATGACAGCTTAGGTTGTCCTCTGATTTCCATGTGCATACACGCATGCCCACACAGGTGCGTGTATGCACACACACAATATTAATAATAATCCCGTTTTTCTGTTCTCTGTTGATATATTCAAGGGACAAAAGGCAAAAGAAGAGGAAAAGGAAGAAAAAGAGGAAATGAAATCTGACCCTGAAAAGTCTGAGTACGTTTGGCCCATGTCCTTCCCTCTGCATCTCCGTCTTGTCCTTGCTCTCTCTCTTTGGGAGCTGGGGTAGTGAATCCTTGCAGGGGTGTCCCATGACCTGATCTCACATCTCTGCGAAGGCCAGGACCTCAGTCCTTACAGCGCTGAGTGCACGCCACTGTGGATTCCTCCCCATCTTTTCTTTGTCAGAAAAGAGTCGAGGGCTCTGTGAATGGTCTCCGCAGATGACTGATGGGTAACCCTCCGTCTTCTAAAACCACAGGTGCCCTTCAAAGAAGGGAAGAGCCCAACATGGCAGAGGCCACTAGAGTGACAATCCCCAGGCCTGACCATCAAGGCCACGGGCCTAGACATCTAGAGAGATAGTTAAAAATGTAGATTCCAGGCTGGTGAGACAGCTCGCTGTTAAGAGCTCACACTGCTCTTCCAGAGGACCCAGTTCCATTCCCAGCACCCACACAGGGCAACTCACAACCACCTGTAACTTCATCTCCTGACATCCTCTTCTGGCCTCCCCAGGCACCTGTAATCATGTGCCCCAAACCACACACATACACATTATTAAGAATAAAATAAATCTTAACAAAAAAGAAAACTGCAGACTCCTGGCAGCGAAAATAGCTCAGTCGGTAAAACAGTTGCCGACAAGTGTGAGGACCTGAGTTTGAGCCCCAGATCCATAAAAAACAGCCAGTGTGGGAGGTGTGTGCCAGACTGTAATCCCAGTCCTGGGGAAGTGAAGACAGGTAGATCCCTGGGGCTCCCAGGGCCAGCTAGTTCAGCCTAATGGGTGAGCTCCAGGCTAGTGAGAGACTCTGTTCCCCAAAACTAGGTGGATGGCAACCTGAAGTTGTCCTCTGGCCTACACACAGACACACACACACACACACGCATGCGCACGTACACTTACCTCCACACACAGGCACCCCTGGACTCACAAACACACACAATGTGGATTCCTGGGCCCCACTTTAGAGGTTCTGACTCGGCTGCTCCGGTGTGGGGCCCCACAGCCCTCAGGTTCATCGGCATCCCTGGTTTTCAAAGCAGAGATAGGAAACATGGGCTGGATATGAATCAGGGAAAACAACCGGCAGCTCAGCAACGACTTTACATTAGTAACTGAAGATGTTTAAACTCCCCATTTATGCACTCTCATATGCGCATCTAGAAAAATCTAAGAAAAGCCATAGTCCTTGGGCACCTATTATGCTCTTTACACACAGCAGTTTCGCTTCCTCTCTGTGTTAATTCCCTTTGCCTGTTTTCATGGTAGTGTCCCTGTAGTCAGTTACAGTTGTCATAGATCTTACACTGTTTGATCCACTGTAAACGTGGCTAGGTGAATGACGTTTAGAATATAAGAGTCCGCATGTGTGACCGTGCACAGTGGGCATGAGATAACACTAATTACTTCATTTAAGCATGATGTAAGCTGAACCTCCTGTGGACTGAGTGGCATCTGTGCGTGCAGGTGGTGAGTCCTCCTCACGGAGAGGATTCCCATTTTCTATTTACAGGGGTTTTAGATGTTAAGTTCTGGTCCTGTGGCCAGCGAGATGACTCAGCAGGTAAAGGTGCTTGCTGCCAAGTGTGATGACTTGAGTTTGATCCCTGGGACCCACATCTTGAAAGGAGAGAACCTACCCCCGCAGGTTGTCCTCTGACCTCCACATACACAAAAGCACACACAAAAAATAAGTGAAAATTTTCAAAGTTATTAAACTTCTGGTGCTAGTTCTGTTGTTATCTGGAATTAATGTATCAATAACATTATATTGATATTAAAAAGAATATAGTTTGTTTAATCAAATTAAGTAACTGTAATTATCTGTTTCAGCATATTATTGAATTAGTGTACTTTATATATGTGAAAAAAAAATGCCCTGATTTTAAGTCTCAATGACTAGAAAAATGTTAAAAAATTGAATTATGGGCTGGTAAATCTGGAAAAATGTCCTCTAGATTTGAATTCCATATAATTACTCATCTCTGAGGGATCAGAGATCTTACCCCTTGGTCTAAAATCCAGAATGTTATGATTCATTGGAACAGAACTTAGTGTCGGGGCTGGGGAGATGGTGGTCCACAAGTACTTGCCACACAGGTATATGACCCTGAGTTTGATCTGGAACTCACATACAAACGCTGGGTGTGGTGACCTGTAATTGTGATCCCAGCATCGGGAGGTGGAGCAGGCAGATCCTTGAGACTTGCTGGCCAGTCAGCCCAGCCTGAAGGGTGAACCCCAGACCAGTAAGAGATGGTGTGATGTGGTGGTGTGGTGACACACACCTTTAATCCCAGCACTCTGGAGGCAGAGGCAGGCAGATCTCTGTGAGTTTCTGGTCACCTACGGAAGAAGGACACTCAGGCTGTCTTGTGACCTCCACACACACATGCATACATGTGCACATGAAACCTCATGCACACATGTCCATGAACACACATGAACACATACACATGATAACATACATAGACACAAGGACTGATGCTGTGATTCCAGGGTTTGGTCACTAGGATTTGCATAGTACCTGCTTAGTTGTGTGGCTTTTGGGTGGCTTATACTTTCTTTCTTTCTATAGGGGGCAAGATGGAGAGAAAGAAGAAAAGCCCAAAGACGA